GAAAGAAAGAAAGAAAGAAAGAAAGAAAGAAAGAAAGAAAGAAAGAAAGAAAGAGAACATTACCAGGCAGAGATATTATCCTGCATTTTCCCCGTATTACCCTCATTTGATTTGATGAAAGAGAATTTGTTTTTGAAACTCTTTCAAAAAAGCTGCAAATATCAGAGAAATTGTCATGGAAGGTGCATGGTGTTCTTGTCCTTATTTAATTATAAGCCAAAAGGTGTGTGTCTGTGCAAGAACACCCTGTCTTTTATTGTACCATCACTAGCCTTCAGCCAACTTGATTTCTCATGCTTTCCATTCTCCTTGTCCCAATGAAAAATTATCCACCCAGTGTTTCTCCATACATTTGGTAAATAATTTTGAAATGCAATTGTCCCTAGCTTTAATCAAGAACTAGGCTAGACGGTAACATTGATGATAACCAACTGATTTTGTTAAAAAAACAAAAGTAAAAATGTTCACAAACCACCCTGCCCCATGGCCTACTGACAAAGCCAAGTCTTTGAGTCTTTCCAAACACAAACAGGGTGGAGTCCATATGGAATTCAGGGGAGATGTTTGTCCAGCATGCAGGGGAGGCCACAGAGAAGGCCTGTTTCTAGTGACCCATACTGCTTCACTGATGAGATCCGGAGTATGTCAATCTGGCCAGATCTTACTGGATAGGTAGAAACGACGAGAGAAAGATGGTCCTGTAGTGTGAGCTTTAAAATTTTTAACAAAGAATAAAAAAATCTTCCATCGGGAGTCTTTTTTACAAGTGTAATAGCAGAGGAATATAAGGCACACTGATGAAGATTGGGGCTACAGAAAAGGGCTAAAGTTCCCCTATCAACCTGAATCATACCTATATGCTGGCAATTTTCTTTAAAAAGCATTCATGTAATTGTATTGTCAAAGGCTTTCACGGCCAGCATACGATGGCTGGTGTGGGTCTTCCTGGCTGTGTGGCCGTGTTCTTGAAGTTTTGTTTCCTAACGTTTCGCCAGCACTTGTGACC